TAACTAAGGAGTCCCCACTATCCAGTCAGAGCTGAAGCAGCTTCTGGGATGAGAAGCGAAACATCTTCAAAAGAAAAAAAAACAGAAAATCCAGTTGCCTCCTGAAAAAAGCACCTTTGGAACAACCATGACCTAGAGGACTTGAGGATCTCTACAGATTTTTAGCTATGCACTTTGGGGTGAACACCCTCAAATGTTGGGGGAGTAAGAATGGATTTCCAGAGGAAAAAAATTGCAGACTGCAAGAACTAAGAACACCACTCAGGTGGCCCCTGAGGACACAGACAAACCTCCAAGTGGCCTCAACGACCCTCTGAAAGGATGCAAATGACCAGCTGTCTGCAAGGAATATAAATCCTTCCATTCCCCCACCATCCAGTCAGAGCTGAAGAAGCTTCTTGGATGAGAAGCGAAACATCTTCGAAAGAAAGAAAGGATGAGAAGCGAAACATCTTCAAAAGAAAGTCCAATTGTCTCCTGAAAAAAAGCACTTTTGGACCTGGAGGACTGAGAATCTCTACAGACTAAATTCATCAGCGCTGTTTAGAGAACGTAAGGTAGACCATCCCTGTTCCAAGGATGTTACGATGTAGTATATACTACATTCACGAAGGCTGTTTAAAGAACGTAAGATAGACCATCACTGTTCCAAAGATGTTATGCTTTACCCTTTGATAGGAGGGAAGCAAAGCACCGCAGAGGAGATGGAGCTAAGGGGATGTAGCATATTAAGTTTATTAATGCCTTTCCGTGATACCGGTCCCAGCTGACCTTGTCCGATACGGGGGGGAAAAAACTACGCACCGAACGTAATTAACATCTGAACGGGAGATTCCAGGAAATTCCAGAGCTGGAAGCGAGTGAGAAAGTTGGACTACATCCCAGACAAAAGGTAAAGGCAAACTATGTTGTACTCTTGCCAAAGAAATCTGACGGAGGAGCCTTTTTCATGTAAAGAGTCAAAAGTTGGCTGGAGGACCTACTGACTTTCTCTCCGACATGTCTTCTGCAGTTGAGTAAAGAAATAGGATTTGCAGCTTCAAGATGACAATAATTGAGCCCAGAATGTATGGTTGCTAAGCAAGAAATTTAGTAAGTTATTAAGAAATTTATTTATTAAGAAGGCAAGAGAAGAAGCAAATGGATGGAAACTTATCAAGCAGAGAAGCAATCTAGAACTAAAGAGGAATTTTCTGACGGCGAGAACAATTGATCAGTGGAACAGTTTGTCTCTGGATGTTGTGGGTTGCTCCAAAACTGGAGGCTTTAGAAGAAGCCGGACAGCCGTTTGTCTGGAATGGTGTATAGAGCCTCCTGCTTGAGCGGGGGGGTGGGGGTGGACTAGAAGACCTTCAAAGTCCCTTCCAACTCCGCTATTCTATCACTCGGCTCTTCCAGAATTAGAACTGGAGGAATGATCCCATTAGTCTGGAAGTTGGAAAGGACTGCCAGTTGGAAAAGGCTTTCGTTGCTCTTCCAGAAGGCCTCTGCAGCTGGAGAAAAGATCCAGACCATTTCCAAACACCCAAGATTTATTGGAATTCTGCCATTCCAGAGTTTTGTGCTCAGCTTTTGGCTTGATTTTATTTTATTTTCTGGGGTAAGTAGGGGGACGGGGTGGAAAGAGCGCTACAGGAAAGGAAGAGAGAAGTTTTGAGAAAGGAGATTCCAGTTTGTGTCTTTTGTGTTTCAAGTTTACAGAAGAAAATAAACCCCAGTTTCTTCCCATGCTTTGTTGGAAGAAAAGGCTGATCTCATTTTAAAAGGATTCGGTGCAATTTTTGGGGATGGGAACATCTTGAGATGACAAGGGAACTGCGCTGTCTTTGAAGGTTAGAAGGACCAACAAAAGAAAGAAAGAAAAAAAGAATGATCCATTAAACCACCTCCACCTACCCTTAGTCACCCAGGTAAGATAGAATTAGAACTCCCAACCACCTAACTTTCAAATCTAAAATATCTGCTTTGCAAAACTCCTTGCGTGGTGAAGCCTCCATCCTACCTTAACGATTTGGCCTACAACTTCTTTGTTTGCTATTTTGCTGTAACTTTTATTTTCTACTCTAAAATATCTTTTCTGAGAATGACACACAACATCCGAAGTCCACCCACCCACGAGGTGATTATTATTTTCTTGCATAGCCAGCTGGATGGCTGGGGAACACCGGAATAATAATTTTTCCACAGATCCAAAGGGCACATGCTGGGGAAAAAAATCTTCCTGCATTTTCAAAACCTGGTGTTTTATTAAATATAATGGATACTTTATGCCCGGAGGGGCTGAAAGAAGGGGAAAAAAATCCAGAAGAGAAATTAGACAATTTACTAACTGAATAAAAAAAAATTAATAGACAAGGAAGAAGACAACTGAGAAATTCAATCAAACTTCCTTGTCTTGTTTTGTCTGTGTCTCTGACATAAAATAACAACTCTACCTGCAAATCGTTTTTTTTTTTAATCAAATGTATGCAGAGTGCTTACAATATAAGATTCAGCTGTTCCTTATTACTATTCCACTTTAATTTGTTAATAATAACTTAATAATAATAATGTAATTTAATGACGATAGGACATAAGAGGTTCAGCCATTGTCTCAATATTGAAGACAATGTAGACTTCCACTTACAACCACAATTGAGGACCGAATTCCTGTTGGGAAGCCAGGCGGTTCTTAAGTGAGTCACGCCCATTGTTATGAGCTTTTCTGCCACAGACATTAAGTGAACCACTGCAATCGTTAAGCAAATTACAGTCATTAAGCCAATTCAGTTTCCTAACACTGACTTTGCTTGTTGAAAGGTTGCAAGTGGTGATCTCTACAAACTGTCACAAGTACATGCCAGTTGCCAAGCATTCTAATTTTGTGGGTATATGAAGTTTATAAGTGTATGGACTGGCCGTAAATCACTTTTTTCAGTGCCGTAATAACTTCCAACGATTACTAAAGGAATGCTTGCACATTGGAGATTCCCTGTAGGAAGACTCTAAAAGCATTTGTTAAATTTCTCAGCTTTTTTAAAAAAAATAATGTATTTATTCAACATTTAAAAAACTATTTCCACTTTTTACAATGATTCTGTAACGGTGTTCACACTAATTAATAAAGTCTATAACTATATCAATTGCTTCTCCATTCTATTCACTTATACTCTTATTTCTCAATTTAACTTATAACACACACACACACACACATATATATATATGTACACATATACATATATACATACATATATATATATATATATATACATACACACATACAAACACAACATTAACGCTTTCTCATCTTTGCTGTCAATTGATGCCTTTGCCTCTGCTTTCTAGCCACTCATACCAAACATTCCATATCTTATAGTACTCTATTTCTTCTTTTAATATCTTTTAATATCATTGTTAGCCTGTCCATTTCAGCACATTCGAGGATCTTTTTAATTATTGCTGCCTCAGAGGGCATGGTATCCTATTTCCAGTTTTGAGCAAATGAGATTCTGGCTAAATTTCTCAGCTTTTAATCTACCTCGCAGGACTGTTTGTGAGAGTTTTTTTTTAAAAAGAGGGAAGATCAGAAGTATGATAGATTCCGCTTTTAAAATCTTTTTTTTTTAAACAAGTTTTATTGATTTTACAAACAAACAAACAAACCAAAACATCATTAAACATTAAAAACATAAAACCTCTTCCCATTGTAGATCTTTACAAGGCAGGTAACATATTGCTTTATATCACGTACTTATAATTTATCCCATTTCCATATAAACACGTAAATTCCCTTTACCAAATTCCATATTGTTTCTCTTTAATCATTATTCAATCATATTTCCTTTCTAATAACCGCTTTTAAAATCTTAACAGTGCCAGATGGGAATAAAATGCAAGCATAAGCTTGAGAATTAAAAAAAGAAAAGCGTGACCGGTCATAAGGCAAGCCAACAACATAAACAGATCTTATTGCCAGAAATGTACAACTGTTTGGTTTTCTTTTATGAACGGGAAACCAGTTCAAATATTTACTTTGAATCAGCTGCTAGCCACTTTCAAACCGGATGTTTAACCATTCCCCCCAAAAAATAAAAGTCCCAAAATTCTCCAAGAAAGATTGACAACCCAAATTTTCATCTGTTCTCCAGATCAAACCATCTCAGCATGTCTTCAACTGACACAAAAAGGCCTTTGGTGTAAACTGGCTCCAGGGATGCCACATGGGGCATAAAACTATGCAGGTAGTCCTCAACATACAACCACAATTGAAGCAAAATTTTCTGTTTGCTAAGCAAAACATTTGTTAAGTGAATTGTGCCCCGTTTTATGACTTTTGTCTGGCTACTTTTGTTAAGCGAATCACTGCCGTTATTAAGTTAGTCACAGGGCCGTTAAGTGAATCTGGCTTTCCCCCACTGGCTTTGCTGGTCAGAAAGTTGCAAAGGGGGATCATGTGATTCCCCGAGATGCTGCAACAGGCATAAGTACATGCCAGTTGCCAAGCGTCCAAATTTTGATCATATGACCATGGGGATGCCGCAATAAGTGTGAAAAAATGGTCATTTAGCCACTTTTTTCAGTGGTGTTGTTAATTCTGAATGATCACTAACTGTTGCAAGTTGAGGATTTGGTAGTTCTGTTTGCAAACAAACAAATAAAAGTATGGAAATTCGGTCCACGCAGCAATTTGGCCCACCCACCAACTCCAGTCTTATCTCTGAAACACTTATTTTTCCAGCCATTAATTTATCTCAAACTTAGCAACTAATGTTTCTCGACAGCCAATTTTTCCAAAACTTAAAATTGCGACCTCCCCCACCCGCCAAAAAAATTGGCTGAGTGTCCCCGGTTGTAAACACAGGACCCAATTTTGATCAAAGGATTGTGGGAATGCTGTGACAGTCATTAATGGCCACAAGTCGAAGACTACTTGTGTGTCCTGCAAAACACGACCAGCGAAAACCCCACAACTGGAAAACTGGGCAAAATTGCTTCTTCTGCACAACGCCGTCCGTATTTTTTTATGCTGATGTGAAATGTTTTTCTGTAGCTTTGGTGATCTGGTGCATAACAAAAAAAAGGGGCACAGAGGGAATTTCCCCTTTCTAAGATGTCAAGAATTTAGGAGCTGTTAAGTTAAAAAGCACAGACTGAAGAGGAAGGGCACAAAAAAAAGAACAAATGTTTTCCACATTTTTATCTTTCTTGAGTAAACTCAAGGAAAGTCTGGAGTTGGATTAGAACCATTGGTCTAGTGGCTGTTCGACGTTTCAGTTATAACCGTTGGATCCTCCCCACGGCCACGTGATCACAATTCAAAAGCTTGGCAACTGGCATGTACTTACGCCAGATGCACTGTCCCGGAGTCATGTGATAACCCATCAGTGACCTTCCCAGCTTGCTTCGGACAAGGAAAGTCAATGGGGAAAGCAGATTCGCTTAATGGCGATGTAATTCACTTAACAACTGCAGTGATTCACTTAAAATTGGTGGCCCAAAGGGGCACAGCTTGCTTAACAAGCAAGAATAGAACTCCTTAGCATCAGAGCATGTTAATAATAATATACAAAATGCTAATGCTCCGATGGTCATTTCAAAAAACCCTTTCTTAGTGAGCGCTTAGGAGCCAAGAGGAACATAGGTGCCAAATTTCAAGTTTGTAGGCTTTATGGCTCTGGAGATTTTGTGATGATGCGTGAGTGGCATTTCACTCTTATATATATAGATTTTATGTTCTATATATTACTGATCAGCACACAATCCTCAAAGAGTGCAAATAATAGTAAATAAGAACAAAGTAAATATTTTTTTAAAAAAACAGAGCACCTGAAGGCAGGACAAGAAGCAATGGATGGAAAGTAATCCAGGGGAGAAGCAACCTAGAATTAAGGAGACATTTCCCGTCAGTGAGAACCATCAACCAGTAGAACAACTTGCCTCCAGAAGTTGTGAATGCTCCAAACCTGGAAGATTTAAAGAAGAGATTGGACAACCATTTGTCTGAAATGGTCTGGGGTCTCCTGCCTGAGTCGAGGGTTGGACTAGAAGATCTCCAAGGTCCCTTCCAAATCTCTTACTCTGTTCTGCTGTCAGAACAAATCTTTCAGCCAGTTCACAGCTTACGTTTCAGGGAAGCTTTGCTGGCAAATTGCCCTCAAGACCAGATTCCCTATCTCCCAGCAGATCTGTCTGTCTGTCTGTCTTTCTTTCTTTTTCTTTCTTTCATTCCTTTCTTTCTCTTTTCTTTCTTTCCTTTTTCTTTCTCTTTCTTTCCTTCCTTCTTCTTCCTTCCTTCCCTCTTTCTTTCCTTCCCTCTCTTTCCTTCTCTTTCTTTCTTTCTTTCTTTCTTTCTTCCTTTCTCTTTCCTTCCCTCTTTCTTTCCTTCCCTCTTTCTTTCCTTCCCTTTCTTTCCTTCCTTCCCTTTCTTTCCTTTCCTTCTTTCTTTCCTTCCCTTTCTTTCCTTCTTTCTTTCTTTCCCGGCCTCCAATGCACAAGATCCCAGATAAAAATGGACCAGAGACCGATTTGGGAAGCCCTTGTTTGCCTTGACTGATAAGCCCTGTTCATGTTGGTTTCTGCTCCTTCAGCAAAATGCCTCCCGTTCAGAATCGGTGACTCTTGGCCGGGGAGAGCGCTGGCTGCCCCATTCACCTTTATCTTACCCACCCCAGTTCCCAACTATCCAGAGTTTCAGGATGTTTCCCCATTCCACCAACCTCCCCCCACCCCCTCCCAAACAGCCCTGAGTCATGCCAAAAACATTTCTGTTGCCAGCAAGAGGAACCAACCAGAAAACAACAACATCTGGTTAGATGTCCGTCTTCATTAGAGAAGGCAACACAAGGAGCCAAGAAGGAAGGATCTGCTGCCCAAGTCGATAGAGAATACAGGATAATAAAGAATCGGAAGACCTTCGGAGGTCTTCTAGTCCAACCCCCTGCTCAAGAAGGAGAAACGTATTCCAGACAAATGGCTGCCCAAAAGCCTCCAGTGATGGAGCACCCACAATTTCTGGAGGCAAGCAGTTCCACTGGTTAATTGTTCTCTCCGGAAATTTCTAGGTTGCTTCTCTCCATGATTAGTTTCCATCTGTTGCTTCTTGTCCGATAGGTTGACCCCTTGTTTTCTGTGACAGCCCCCCCGTGTATTGGAAGTCTGCTATGTCACTCCCTACCCGCCTCTCTTCATTAAGCTCTTGGTGATTGGCCCAAAGTCACCCAGCTGGCTT